CCCCTGAGTAATACCTTTCTTAATTGTTAGACATTTTAGGGCTATCAGAAAGACTCCATCTGGTAAGAGGATTCTGGTGCTAAAAACAGGCATATAAACAAAAAGTTCAAAAACTGTGCAGGTGCTAGGGACCAGTGGAGTTTCAGGTGGTGGACTGATATGATTGGGTTTACATGTTAAAAGCCTTGCTCTGGCTGCCAGCATGGAGAATGGAGTTGGAAACAGGCAGGAGAAGGGCCAGCCAAGAAGGTGCTGTGGTTAATTTGGATTAAAAGGAATATGGCATGCGAGGTTTTCCTGAGAAAGTACTAACCAAAAGATAGAAGTAGAGGGTGGTTGCAACAACACGGGTGAGTTTTGGACACAGAAGGAGCCATCTGGGACCACAAAGCCATCCTGAAAAGTCTCCTGTGCCTGCATGAGGGGAAGCAGGGAGGAGGAGGCCTGATGTGGACTGAAGCCTTACAGTTACCTCTAGTTAGAAAAGGCCCCAGCATCACCCAGCGCAGCCCCATATCTTACAGGTAAGAACATCAAGATCTGGAGAGGTCATTATGTCCTGTCTGAGGTCCCTGGGCAGGCCGGGACTCAGAGCTGTGCTCTTGGTCCATTGTCCATCCTCATGGGAGCCCTGGCCTCAAAGCGCTAGTCTAGTGGGGCAACAGAGGGTGAAATCTCCAGGTGCCCTGAAGGCTTGGAGAAGGAATTGATGCATCCGGTTGGGCCAAGCCTTGAAGGATGAACAGAATTTTGACAGAGATGGAGGAAGGACATTCCAGACAAGGGAACCACACATGAAAGACCCAGAAGGAGCTTGTTAGCAGAAGGAGCTTAACACTTACTGGGCACTTAACACACAGCATCCTATTTAATCCTCTAACAAAGCTGTGGGGTAGGAATTATTATTTTACCATGAAGACCAAGGCTCAGAGGTAGAGGACAGGGGCTGGGCTCCCACCCAGACATCTTCAGCTCCAGGCTGTGTGTGGAGGGCAGGATGGGTCTTCTGTCTTTACCCACTAAGTTTCAGTGGCTCCCAAAATGGGCAGGGTCTTCCAAAAGGCTCCCATGGGTGGCAGACTGGCTCTGTGCCTTCAAAAGGGCAAAAGTCAAGGATCCAGGCCTGGGAGCCTGACCTTCTCGAAGCTGCTGTGGCTGGAGGGTTTAGTCAGGGTGCTGCTTTGGAGAGGAAGTTTTGTTTGCTCAGACTAGTCTAGGGATAGACCTGAAGGGACTATTCTGGAACTTCACTCTTAGTACAGAAGCAGAACCCAGTTCACATCTCCAGAAGCGGGACATGATCTTTAAGAACTTTTGTTATTTCCCCACAGTGTTTACTTTGGTAGCCTCTGTTCCGTTACAGCGATGAATAAAACACTCAGGGGAAAAAGGGAACTTCCATTTTGTGAATTCTTACTGTGTGACCAGCACTGCCTTTGATTTCTCATCAAATCCTTTCTAAAACCCTGTGTGAGTTAGGTATTAGTATCCTCATTTTCCAGAGGAGTCCACTGAGGCTTGCGGAGATGAAGTGAGTTGACCAGGGTCCCACAGTTACACATGGTGGAGCTGGGCATCAAACCCAGGCTTGACTGCAAAGCCCACCGTATGTAGGCAGCTGGGATGATGCTGTGGTTAAGAAGAAGGGATACTTCCCTGAGTGCGGCAAGCCAGTCTGGTCACCGGGGGAGAGGGGAGAGGGCTGGGGCCATCCAGTGGAAGGAGCACGTGCAAAGCCCAGGGCTGCAGGTGGTTCGGAATTTGTCAGGGCCAAGGAGGGGGAGAGGCATCGCGCACTAGCTCCGGAAGGGCCAGGACTTTGAATTCTAGGAGAGGAACAGCCACGTCAAATATACTTTAAAAACTTCCCTCTGGGGCGCTGTGGATGCTGAATCAACAGGGGACACCCTACAGGCCTCAAGAGGGGCGGCACAATCTCCACTAGACACCGCAGGGCCTGAACTGTGACAGCAATGGCACTCAGGGCAGGGGAACAGGGGAGCGGAGGCTGCTTCTGAGCGGCTGTGGGAAGCACGGCTCAGCTGGCAGGTGGGTCTGCCCCCCTCCACTGCTCTTGTCTGCTTTTCCTCTTAGCCAGCAGGCTGGGCAGGGCTGTTTCCTGCTGCTGCCAGAATCCGACCCATCAAAGCCACTTGTAGCCTCCAGAGGGTTTGCCACACAGCAAGGGGCTTGTGAGCGTGGGACCGGAGCCCTGAGGCACAAGGTAGGACCTTCTGGGCCTGGCCTGAGGCGGTGGACGAGGCCTGGGTTCACCAGCTGAGCCACATCAGTTTCCCATCCTGGACTTCCTGTCTGTGAAATGGACAAGCTGAGCCCCACCTCACAGGTTTGCTTCGGGGATAATAATAAGCCATAGAATGAGCCCACAATGCATGAGCTTACGTGTGTGGTAGGAATTCACATAATATTTCATTTAAACCTCACAACAACCTTGTAAGACAGAAACTACTGTTCTCCCCATTTTACAGATGGGAAACTGAGGCTGAGGAGTGTTAGAGATGTATGGCTGCGGCCTGCTGAACAGTCCTCAAAGGAGGCAGCTGGGGACAGTGGGCAACATCTTCTTGGAGATGGACCCAGCCTTGGGAGGGCCTGGGCTCAGGCCAGTCCTCCAGTGCCCAGCCAGGATTTGGGCAGAGAAGGTCAGTTTTTTCTTCCTCTCTTCAGGGATTTGGGGAGGTTTTGAACACCTGACAGCAAAATCCCCACCTCCATCCCCAGGATGAGCTGCTCATCTCCAAACAAGCTTTGGTTTACACTGTACTCCTATTCAGGGAAGCTCTGGGAAATAAGAAACCACAGACCAAGTTGAAGGTCACTCCCTGCTTCTTCACTTACTCTAGCTGCTCAGATCTCCAGTAAATTCCTAGAAAGAGCCCAGCTCTTTCCTTGTTCCTTACCTTGAGGCTTCTTCCTCTGCTCACTTGTTTCAGTTAACCTCACTGGGCCTTAGTCTGCACATCAGTAAAATGGAACAATAGTACCTACCTCAACTGGACATAAGAAGTACTCAGTGCTGGCCACTTTTCTTTCGGCCCAGACCGCTGCTCTTAGCTGGGCCCCTCTCCTCCCTCCCCCAGCTCTCAGCTCAAGGTCATCTTCTCAGGGAGGCTCTCCCTGACCAACTGCTCTAAAGAAATCAGTCCCATCTTTCTCAGCCCTGTCTCCAGGAGCTGTGGGCTTCAGAGCACTTACAACTGGAGATCATTTAGTTCACTTATTTACTCGTTTTGTTCTCTCCCACTAGAATGTCAACCCCAGGATGGCTTTTCTGTCATGTTCACTGCTGCATCCTCAGAGCCCAGAACAGAGTAGATGCTTATTTTTTTTTAATTGATGAAGGAATGATAACATTCTCAAAAACAAGTCAATCATTTCTCTCTCCCTCTCCAAGCTTCCCCATCGGCGAAATGAGGGTAACCGTGCCAACCTTGCAAGACTATCATAAGGATGAGGGATGACTGTTTTAAGAGAGGAGGTAGGGAGGAGGCAGTGCAAAGGGAGACCCACCCTGGCCCAGCCCCATGGGGAGGAAGCTAAGAAACCCTCCCTGACTGGAAACCTCCCAAGAACCCTAGGAAGAAGGGATTATCAGTCACATGATGCTGAGGAGGAATCCGAGACCGGTAAGCCTCAGGTCACAAAGTGAGTGAAGTGGTTGTGCTCTTTTTTGCTGTGGAACTGTCCCTGCCCTTCCTGTGCCTACTAGCACAATGACACCCCCTCTACACCTGCTGAGATTCTTACCAACATAAACACTATCTCCAGGAAACCCTCCCTGATTTCCCTAGGACATTCTCTGTCTAGCTGTTCCTGTTCCCCAGGAGGCAATTGCTGAGTTGAGGATTAGCGAGCAGACATTGATTAGAGGGTTCTTGAGATCAATACCTGCTTGGGGGAGGAAGGGAGGAAAGTGGGACTGAGCAGAGGAAGAATTTAGCTGTGATGTTGTAAGAACAATGGCCTCAATCAGCCCCATGAAGAGTGATGAAGCTGGGTTTGATCTTCCGAGCTGGGGCAAGAGAACCAGGCCTTTAAACACTCCCCCACCCCCCAACAGATTCAACAGATCAACACTGGATGTGGGCAGCCCTGAGGGGTAGGCAGTTCCCAGAGGGTGCTGTGAGCGCACCATCATCGGCAGCACTCCCAGCAGCTGGGGGAGGGGGTGTTTAGGGGTGGGGGTAGAAGGCTGTGGGATCTGCAGCCCTGTAGGGACATCTTGGTGCCTAATCACAGTGTCCACTATGTGCCCAACCTAGGAGATGCTCGCTCGCCTTCATCCCTGCCTCCCAGATCCAGATCCAGCGCCTGGCCTTGGAGTAGGGGCACTGGGCAGCGACCCTGAGGTTCAGGGCACACATTTAAGACTCATCCAAGTCTGAGAACCTAAGGAGGCTCCCAGGTAGGCTTGCCCTGAAATTCCCTGCCCAGTCCTCGCCTGTGCAGCAGCGTCCAGAATCAGTGCGTCTCCGCGTCCAGGCTCGGGAGCGCTGCCAGAAATGTCAGAGGGGAAAGAGTGGTGGGGACAGTTCTTGTATTCAGCTCTTAACAGCATGGCTGGTTCTGGCTGAGCATGTCCCCCACATCCATTTCTCATTGATGCCCCCACCCCCCAACCCTGCCGTGGCATGGGTCTTCTATGAGCCCCACTGACAACTGAGAAAACAGGCTGATGGACACGAAGCTGCACACCTGGCTTCTTAGAACTTTCTGGCAGAAAGGGGCTGAGCTCTGAAACCCCAAAATCTGGGAGGTGTGACTGCTAGGATACTGTTTATATATTTTTTTTAATTTTTTTTTTTTAAGATTTTATTTATTTATTTGACAGAGATAGAGAGAGAAAGCACAAGTAGGCAGAGAGGCAGGCAGAGGGAAAGGGAGAAGCAGGCTCTCCGCCGAGCAGAGAGCCTGATGCGGGACTCAATCCCAGGACCCTGGGATCACGACCCTTAACCAACTGAGCCACCCAGGCGCCCTAGGATACTGTTTATATTAACCCTTTGGCTACACTTGGCCCTTTGCTCTCCATAAAGATACTGAGACACTCCCCATCCCAGCAGCACTTCTAAGGTTGGCACTGCTTTAACCCTTTCCCTCCCAGAGTCAACACTGGCATGGACCTGGGGGCTGCTTCCTGGGGGGGGCGCTGGGGACTTGGGTCTTGTGGATGAGCCGGACGCCCCCCCAGTCCTCCTCCAGCTTGATGTCCCCCTGATCCAGGGCCTGCTGGATGGCGTCAGCAAGGGTGCTGAAGGCCAGGTCCACATTGCAGTTATTTTTGGCGGAGGTCTCCATGAAGGCCATGCCCAGGGAGGCAGCCAGCTCCTCTGCCTCCTGGGCCGAGACGCAGCGGGTGCTCTGCAGGTCACTCTTGTGGCCAACCAGTAAGAAGATCACCTTGTCCGGGCCCTGAGTGGCCATGACCTCCTGGTGCCAGTCGCAGATATGTTCAAAGGACTTCCTGTTTGTCACATCAAAGACCAGGAGGACACCCACCACATTCCGGTAGAAGGACCTGGTGATGCACCTGAAGGAGGCGGAGTGAGCTGGGAGAGGTTTATACCTTCCAGGTGCCCCCACAGGCAGGATGTCCCCCGCATGCAAGGACTGCCTCACAAGCCCCATAGCTCTTTTCACACTGCCGGGTGCTTCTCTGCCCCTCGCCTCTGTGTCTCTCCCAACAGAGTGCCTGCGCCTCAGCTAGGGAGCAAGTTCAAGTCACCTCCTCTCTGGACCATTCCTGGAGGAAGCGGGATGTTTTCCTGACGGCAGATTTTTGCTTCCCGTTCTCTGCCTGGCAAACTCCTACACATCCTTCCGGGCCATCCCAAACCTCTCTTCCTTTCCCATCTCCCCGGCACCTCCCGCTCTGCTCGCTCTGCTCCGGTGGGCTCTCAGCAGCCGGGTCACCCATCCCCCCAGGTCTCCGTGGCAGGACCGTTGCGCCCTCCCAGCACCAGGGTCTCAGGCCTTTGGCTGGGGGGCTTGGCCCACCCGGCTGCATCTGTGGAACGAACGACTCCACGTGGAGGGCCAGAGAGCAGGGCAGGGACCCCCAGACCTGTACCTTGGCCACTGAGGCCGAGCCCTCGCGGGGGGGGGGGTAACCGTCCTGGAGGCGGGGGGCACTGACCGCCCCCCCCCAGGTCCCTCAGCCCGCCCGGCCCGCACCTGAAGCGCTCGTGGCCCGCGGTGTCCCAGAGCTGCAGCTTGACGCGCGGCCCGGCTCGCAGCTGCAGCTTGCGGCTGTAGAACTCGACGCCCACCGTGGGCGCCCACTCGGACTCGGGCTCGGGCTCCGCGGCCCCGGGCGCGCCTGCCACATAGCGCCGCAGCAGCGACGTCTTGCCCACGGCCGCGTCCCCCAGCAGCGCGATCCGGAACTGGTAGCCGCAGCCCCCGGCCGTCATAGCCCGCGTCTAGCCGCCCGAAGCCAGCCGCCCCGCCGCCCCGCCCCCCGAGGTCAGTCGCCCCGCCGCCCCGGGGGCTGGCCCCGCCCCTCGGCCCGGGGCGCGAGACACCAGGGCACGTGCTCTCCTGCCTGGGGGCCCCAGTTTCGTCCTCTAATAACCCCTGCTTCGCGGGATGGTAGATTAAAGAAGGCAGTGTCGGGAGGAGGACGAGCGAGGGACGAGAACCAAACGCGCCCTGGCCCGAGACTAAGACCGCCCGAGCGTTCACCTCGTTCCGCCGGCCGGCTTTTCTCCAGCCCCACTCTCCGGGCAGTGCCCTGGTTGGGCCCCTGTTGCTGGAGAGGCACCACTCTAGAAAGTTGATGGTTTATAGGTGTCCCTTCCCCACTCAGGTGCTCCATTAGCCCTGGCCGAGGGCCTCCCAGGGCCTCCCGTTCAATGGTCGGGTTCAATGTTTAACAGCCCCCACTGCATCCTCAGCACCTGCCTGGGGCGGGGCCTCAGGGCCCAGAGAGAGATGCCAACAGGGCTGGTAGGAGGCCGGACAGAAGTAGGCAAATGCGATTCCAGAGAGAGTACTGTTGGCCTGTGGTCTGGACAACTAACATTTATGAGGCCAGATGGTCAGTTCTTCACACTCTGCTGGCGACAACTTTGAGAGGGCCATAGTGTGCCTATTTTAGAGCCGAGGAGACTGAGGCTTGTCTCAGATCACAGAGCAGAGCTGAGACTCATATCTGAGATTGTCTCACTCTTCATTACCCCCCTGATGCCACAAAGGGGGACTGCAAATCAAGTACCAAGAGGAAGAGGACACAGTGGTCAGGTCCCCATGGGTTAGTGGCAAGGGTAAGGCAGGGACATCTGCCTCCAAGAGCCAGTCTACCCTCTCCAGTCAGGTCTTCTGGAAACCCAAGTTATCAAGGCTGGAGTTCTGGCTGGTCCCAAACAGCTCGTCTGTTGGTTTAATCTCACTGTCCCAAAGTGGGTGGATTTTACCACTTTAACTTGTTTTGGCAAATTGGTGGTGAGGCGAAATCCTCACTGTTGCAAACAATCAAATCATCATATTTCCTTCTCACACAAACTTGTAAGGTGTTGTTATTCTCATTTTTACAAATGAGGAAACTTGAGGCTCAGAGATAAAGAATCCAAGGTCACTCAACAAGGAAGACTAGCTGTCAGGTTTACCCAGGGCCAAAGCTTTATTTGCTATTTCTGTGTCTGACAGGACAGGTTGAGGATCTGGGAAGGCCCAGGTTTTCTTCTCACTCTTTTTTTTTTTTAAGTGGATATATGTATGTATGTATGTAAGTAAATAATCTCTACACCCAAAGTCGGGCTTGAACTCATGACTCCAAGCTCAAGAGTCACATGGTCTACCAACTGAGCTAGCCAGGTGCCCCTCTTCTGGCTAACTCCTAACAAATAAATAAGAAGCCATTTTGACAGGTCTCCATGTAATCTCAGTCATGGGTCACCTGCGTGGTAGAGCCTGAAGGGGCCCATGTCTCTGCTTGTCCCCTAATTGTAGGAGTAGGAGAGAGAGGAGCCTGAGAATCCAGGAACCCCGAGGAGCCTCAGGAAGGGTGTGTGTTCGGGGAGGAACCCCTCCTGCCAGGTTTTACCCAAATTAAGAGTTTGTCCCACTCCCACCTTCCCCACTGACTCCTCAGTTGAGATATTTTCTCCACCTCACTCTGTTTAGCTGGAAAAATATTTTTGTGTGTCAGGTCCCTACGGATGCCTCTAGCCCCTTCTTTACCCCCCACTGGTACTCTGAGCCCCAGTCGTGCTCAACACCTTTCCTGTTCTCAGCCCTCTTCTCCTCTTCAAAGGGCTAGCTCCTACTACATGACTTAGGGTACAGCCCTGTCCTCAGAAAGCCTCTGACTGGCCAGTGAGGTCACATACCCTTTTGTCCACTGCATTAGCTGTCTCCCTCCTAGGTCACTTGAGGGCAATGATCAGTGGTAGTATCCCCAGTGCTTGGCACAAAACAGGAATTAAGTAAATATTTATGGTAGAAAGAATGAATGAAAGTGGATAAATGCTATTCGTTCATTAATTCAGTCAGTCAAATCCCACCATAGGGCTGGACTCTGGACTCAGGGAGCTATAGGCTCAGAGAAGACCTTGTGCAGTAGGTGATTCTGAAGCTGGGTCTCTCAGGACGAGGGCGAGCTGGGGAGTTCAAGGAGGAAGGGCACTCTAGGCAGGGGCAGCTGGACAAAGGCAGAGAGGCATAAAACAGCTTGAAAGGCAGTTTGAACCCAGCATTCCCAGAAGCCTTTGTAGTCAGCACCCGTGGGCAGTGCACTGTCAGCACTGGGCTCTTGGAACTTCCTCTCCTAGAGGCTCCTGCTGTGGGCGAGGGTCATGTGCTTGCATTCTGCAGCAAGCTCCAGAATCCAGATGTCAGCTGACCTTGCCAGAGACTATGTGATTGAGGCGGGGCAAGTGACCTTCCCTCCCCACCCTGCTTCCCCTTCTGCTAAGTAAGGCAAATCATGGTGCCCACCTCACAAAGTAATCTGGAGGAGCTATGCAACACAGCAGGTGAGTTAGGCACATCGGCATGAGAGAGATCTAGGTTTTAGTTCCAACCACCCTCTTACTAGCTATGTGGCCTCTGCCAAGTTTTAATCGTTAATTCCTTTACTTTGTATTTGTTTCAATAAGTGCTAGCTCTCTGTTATATACCAGGCACTTACACAGCAGTGAAAATAAAAACACACAATTCCTGGTCTTAGGAGCTCACATTGTAACAGGGAAGACAGAAAATAAACCATATATAATGTGATGTCAAGAAGCAATAAGTGCTGGGTGCCTGGGTGGCTCAGTTGGTTAAGCGACTGCCTTCAGCTCAGGTCATCATCCTGGAGTCCCGGGATCGAGTCCCACATCGGGCTCCCTGCTCAGCAAGGAGTCTGCTTCTCCCTCTGACCCTCTTCCCTCTCGTGCTCTCTCTCATTCTCTCTCTCATAAATAAATAAAATCTAAAAAAAAAAGCAATAAGTGCTATAAATAACAGTCAAGCAGGACAATGGCTTGAAGGGTGGCAGGGTGCTACATCAAAATAGGGTTTTCTTTTTTTTATTTTAAAAGATTTTATGTATTGGGGTGCCTGGGTGGCTCAGTCATTAAGCGTCTGCCTTCGGCTCAGGTCATGATCCCAGGGTCCTGGGATCAAGCCCCGCATCCGGCTCCCTGCTCCGCATCAGGCTCCCTGCTCCGTGGGAATCCTGCTTCTCCCTCTCCCACTCCCCCTGCTTGTGTTCCCTCTCTCACTGTGTCTCTCTCTGTCAAATAAATACATAAAATCTTAAAAAAAAAAGAAAATTAAAAAAAAGATTTTATGTATTTATTAGAGAGTGTGCACAAGCAGGGGGAACAGCAGGCAGAGGGAGAAGCAGGCTTCTCGCTGAGCAGGGAGCCCTATGCAGGGCTCGATCCCAGGACCCTGGGATCATGACCTGAGCCGAAGGCAGATGCTTAACGACTGAGCCACCCAGCGCCCCTAAATAGGGTTTTCTGAGGAGATGACATTAGAACAGAAAACCAGGGGGAGTGAGGGAGTAGTGTGGGTGTCTGTGATATCCAGAGAGGATAGTTCCAGGCAGGAAGAACCGCAAGAGCAAAGGCCCTGAGGTGGGATCAGGCAAGGGATGCTCCAAGCAGAGCAAAGAGGCTAAGAGAGCAGAATGAATGCGGGAGCAAGTGGTGGGTGATGAGGGCAGAGAGGAGGAAGAGCCAAATCACATGTGGCTTCAGAAGCCATCATGGGACCTCAGCTTTTATTCCAAATGTCTGTGAAGTCAGTGGAGATTTTGGAGCAGGTGAATAATATAATGAGAGACTATGTGATTGAGGCGGGGCAAGTGACCTAAACTGTACATATTAGTATAATGTAATGACTATTTTTTTTAAAGATTTTATTTATTTGACAGAGAGCAAACGAGAGAGCACAAGCAGGGGGAGTGGCAGAGGGAGAGGGAGAAGCAGGCTCCCCACTGAGAGGGACCCCCCCCCCCAACGCAGGGCTCCATCCAAGGACCCTGGGATCATGACCTGAGCTGAAGGCAAACACCCAACTGACTGAGGCACCCAGGCACCCAATGTAATGATTTGTGATGTAAGTGTACATCCATTAACCATTACAACAATCTAAATAATGAGCATATGGGCGCCTGGGTGGCTCAGTCGTTAAGCGTCTGCCTTCGGCTCAGGCCATGATCCCAGAGTCCTGGGATCGAGCCCCACATCGGGTTCCCTGCTCCATGGGAAGCCTGCTTCTCCCTCTCCCACTCCCCCTGCTTGTGTTCCCTCTCTCACTGTGTCTCTGTCAAATAAATAAAATCTTAAAAAAAAAAATAAATAATGAGCATGTATCACCCCCAAATTTTCCCATTGTTTTTATTTGTTTGTTTATTGTAGGCTCCACACACATATGGAGCCCAGTGGGGGGCTTGGACTCATAACCCTGAGATCAAGACCTGAGCTGAGATCAAGGGTCAGATGTCTAACCAACTGAGGCACCTATCTCCATGTCCTTTTTATGTTTTTCCCCCATGTCCTTTTTAAATTCCCTTCTCCTGACCCCCCCCACCCTGAGAGTTTTTAATTTTGATGAAATGTAACTTATTAATTCAATATTGAACTGGAGGTCCTAGCTAATACTGTAAGACAAGAAAAATAAATAAAAGGCATCCAGATTGGAAAGGAAGAGGTAAACCTCTCTTTATTCACAGACATGTGAAAAGTCTTAAGGAATTTACATAGGAGCTACTAAAACTAATAAATGAGTTTAGCAAGGTTGGAGGATACAAGTTAATATGCAAAAATTAATTCTATATACACTAGCGATGACCATTTAGAATTAGAAATTGATAAAAGTAATACCATTTACAATAGCATCAGAAATATGAAAAACTTAGGGACAAATTTGACTAAAGATATACAAGATCTGTATGTTGAAAATTATGAAACACTGTTGAGAGAAATTAAAGATAACTGACTGAATGGAGAGCTATACCACCTCATGGATGACTCAATATTGTTAAGATGTCAGTTCTCCCCAAATTAGTCTACAGATGCAATGCAATACCAACCAAATCCCAGTAGGCTTTTTAAAAAAATACAAATTAGCTGATACTAAAGTTTACATGGAAATGCAGAAGACTCTGAATAGCCAAAACAATTTTGAGAAAGAACAAGTTTGGATGATTTATACTACCCTATTTCAAAACTTATTAAAAAGTTACAGTGGGGCGCCTGCTTCTCCCTCTGCCTGCCTTGCCCCCTGCTTGTGTTATCAAATAAATAAATAAAATAAAAAATCTTAAAAAAAAAGCTACAGTAATCAAGACAGTGTATTATTGAGTACAGAAACAGACCTACACATATGGTCAATTGATTTCTACAAAGGTGCCAAAGCAATTAGATGGATAAAGATAATCTTTTTCAACAAATGAACATGGAACAATTTGAGAGCCTTTTGTAATAAATAAACTTTGACTCTTACACCATACACAAAAATTAATTAAAAATGAATCCTAGATCTAAATGTAAGAGCTAAAACTATTAAGCTCCTAGAAGAAAACATAGGAGAAAATCTTTTTTTTTTAATTTTTTTTGAAGATTTTATTTATTTGACACAGAGAGACACAGCGAGAGAGGGAACACAAGCAGGGGGAGTGGGAGAGGGAGAAGCAGGCTTCCCGCCGAGCAGGGAGCCCGCTCGATCCCAAGATCCTGGGATCATGACCTGAGCCGAAGGCAGACGCTTAACGACTGAGCCACCCAGGCGCCCCCATAGCAGAAAATCTTAATGCCTTTGAGCTAGGCAAAAGAATTTAAACTAGGACACAAAAAGCACAAAGCATAAATAGACATATTGGACTTCACCAAAATTAAAAACTTTTGCTCTTCAAACATCGTGGCTGGTGTGTTGAGACCAGACTATAGGGAAGAATGGCAGAATGGCGGAGACTAATTAGGAGCATCAGTGGGGGTGGTAAGGAATGTCTTACCATCTTAAAGGTGGAGAACACAGGATTTGCTGACGGATCCGAAGTAGGATGTTACAGAAAGAGGCCAGGGTCCCTCCAAGGATTTACTGAGATTGGGAAGAGCCGGTGTGGAGGAGGAAAGGCTGTGTTCTGAGAAGCCTATTTATTAGCCAGGTGTAGGTGTCCAGAAAGCTGCAGGGTGTAAGGTCTGGAGCTCAGGAGAAAAGTGAGGCTGGAGAAACACATTTGGGAGTCACCTGAAAGTTTCTTTCTCTCAGAGTCTGTTGTTTACTCCATAAAATGGGAATAATAGTAGTACCTACTTTTTAAAGTGTATATTAAGGATAAAAATTAATGAAGAGTTTAAGCACAGAATAGATATTTAATTCTTGACGACTACTTGTTTTTACACTGACGCTTACTCATTCCACTGTGCTCGTGGCACAGTGACTCGGAGCGTGGTCTCTGCGGTGGACTCGTGGATTCCAGTCCTTACCTCGTTAGCTACCTGGGTGATGCATTCCTGAGTTTTCTTATCTGTAAAGTGGGTAGAACTATAACTATACACAGGGTTATTATGAAAACTAGCTGAGATAATCGAGCATCATTTACTTAGTAACCAATCAGTAATTTATCTATTAGCGCAAGAGGTTAGTCTTTTTTTTAATTTTTTTTCCTTTTTAAGATTATTTATTTATTTGACAGAGAGACAGAAGCACTAGTACGCAGAGAGGCAGGCAGAGGGAGAAGCAGGCTCCCCGTTGAGCAAGGAGCCCAATGTGGGACTCGATCCCAAGACCCTGGGATCATGACCTGAGCCGAAGGCAGCCGCTCAACTGACTGAGCCACCCAGGCGCCCCGCAAGAGGTTAGTCTTGAACAAAGAATGCGTTCCTCTTCCGAGTACTCGGTCGCCTTTTCCTTCCTAAGCCCTCCCCACGGGCCCCGCTCCAACAGGAGCTCCCAGAGCGCCTCCCCACACCCACTCAGCCGCGGCTGCCCTGTCGCAGCTCATAGCGTCATTTCCCGACTTTGGAAGTCTGACTGAACTCCAGTGGACATGGCGGGTCGACTTCATTTGTGAGCCCAGTGCCCAGTACCAGACGTTCAGTGAATCCGGAACACAGGCGGAAAGTTGCGCCAGCCCCGGCCGAAAGGCCGGCACTCCGCACCGGCCTAGAGCTTGGACCCGGACGCGCCGCCCGGCGCCCGAGGGCGGGCGGACTACAACTCCCAGCGGTCTGCGCGGCGCGTTGCTCCAACTGTCGGCGCGGCCTCCAGGGGCGAGGCCTATATAAGCCCCCTTCCAAGACACGGACTTCCTTTTCCCTAGCCGGTGTTGTTGCTGGCGTCTCCCTACTTGAAGACCCAGGGCTGCTGCAGTTCACGTCCAGCCTCCTCTCACTCCACCCTAGCTTCGCCGCCGCTGGCCCCGCACCCGCCGGGCCTGCCTCCGAGGCTGCGGGATGGTGAGAGCGGCTCGGAGCTGCCGGGCCTCCCGGCCTGCTGGGACCAACACCCGGAAGGCCTGGTCGGCCGCATGCGCGGTGAGAAGGACCGAAGCCCGCGGGGGCCGTACCTGAGCTCCCGCCTCGGCCCGCGCATCGCTGCACCGTAGTGTGACGGGTGAGTGACGCGAACAGGCGGATTGGTGCAGGGCAGTCCTGGGCCTGAAGTGGCTTAATTTGCGAGACGCCGCGCGGTGGTGTCCACCAGATCTGAAACTGACTCTGCCTGTGAAAGCCACGTATTGGGTGACCTTGGGGAAGTAAGGTCACCTTCTGCACCCACCTGTCGTCTGGCTGCAGAACACGTTAAGCAATCCATGCAGCTGGATAAAAAGGTAGGGTTTTGTGGGGGCCGCGTTTTAGAATCCTTTGGATCCTATTTTGAATCCCAGTTTTTTGGCTTTCTACATTGATTGGCGACCTTAAGTAGATAGCTTAATTGGTCTAAACTTACCGGTAAAACGGATGATAAAATGGTCCTGTGAAGATGAAATGGGGTAAAACTCTGACTCACAGTAAAATAAAGAGGTAATTGGGACCTGGTAATAGGATATCTGTTTTCGGCGCCTGACTGGCTCAGTTGGTTGAGCATGCGCCTCTTGATCTCAGGGTCTTGAGTTCCATCCCCATGTCGGGCATAAACTCAGTCTAAAAATACATATATAAAAGGATATCTGTTCTCTTTAAGTAGGCTCCATGCCCAGCGTGGAGCCCAGTGCGGAGCTCTGGGTCGAACGCAGGACCATAAGGTCAAGACCTGTTCCTGGATAGAGTCTTGACTCTTAACCAACCGAGCCACCCAGGCGCCCCAATAGTATCTGTTCTCTTATTTGGTCTCCAGTATATTTCAGTACATAAATTTCAGTTACGCAATAGTGCATGGCCTTTAGGTGAGTCTAGGGGGCTAGGTGGCATTTGGGGGCGGTCCTGGGACCTAAATTGCCCTGTGGCCCTTATCGAAGCTGCAGCTGCTTCCACATAGCTGCTGTGGTCAAAAAGGAGCCCAGAGTGACAGTTTTCCTTGACGGTCGCCGTTCTGTTTGCTGTAACTGATCTGCAACATTTCAGGAAAAGACAGTTCCCGTTGTACCTGCCATTTCTCAGGTATAGGTGGAGTCCTTTATTACAATTGACAGGTTTCCAGAGGCCAGCAGAAACGTTTGGTTAATGGGTTTTTTTTTTTTTTTAAGATTTTATTTGAGGGAGCAAGCACGAGCAGGGGGAGGGGCAGAGGGAGAAGCAGGCTCCTCATTGAGCAGGGAGCCCAATATCATGACCTGAGCTAAAGGCAGACGCTTAACTGACTGAGCCACCCAGGTGCCCCTGTTAATGGGGTCTTAAATAGAGTTGCTAGAAAAAAAACTTTGGAGAAGTAAATTGCTGAGACCCAAGAACCAGTATGGTAGGGCAGGTGGAGTGGGGTGGACAGGTGTACTGGGAAAATCTATTGGCAAGTGGCACAGATCTCAGCAGTGCTGTGGGTCACTGCCCCGAAAAGCTTACGGCGTAAGTACCAAAAGCCAGTCACACCTTTGATTATGAAGACCAACGGAAGGGAACAATAAGATCATTCAGGACAACGGTTTTCTCATCTCAGCTGTACCAGACGAAGATTCCAGGATGACTTTGGAGTGGAGCTTTTTGGTGAGGATTCTGGGGTCATGACGGTGATGGAACACAACCACCTCGGGACCTGGTAGGTTTCTGGGAACTACCTGGCGGGTCAGTACAGCATGTTTCCAAGGGCTGTGGCCGGGTGTGGCCATGGGATCTCCAACTGCATGCGAGAGCAACCTGGAGAGACTTTGACAGCACAGGTCAGCATAATACCTGCAGCTGCCACTCAACTTTCCTATAACAGCCCAGGACCTGGGTTGGAAGCCTTCTGCCCGAGTCCAGGTGTTTTCCATAAACTTCCATGAAGATGGGTATATTGGATGTATTTCTGGTTTAGAGCTTTCCCACTTTTTTCTGCAGGTTGCCCCCACGTGTTCCTGTCAGTGTCTGCTACCGAAGAGTCTGAGGATACCAGGTTGTTGCTGTGCTTTAGACAAGGTAAAGTTAGATGCTGGAGACAGCCTGACCCTCCGGTTCCCTTTCCCATCGGATCTGAACGCTGGTCTTGGTGGTCGTAAAAGGAGGAAAAGGAACACTGAAGCTGGCCTCGTGGTGCTTATAGTCTGTTATGTAGACTGTGGGCTAGTTTCAAACAGGGTTTGAATTCTCTTTGACCTGGTTTCCTCCTCTCCTCTAAAATGGGAGAATCTTAGGCTTAAAAGGAGGACGTATGTGAAGCTCCCGGCAGTTGTAGTGATTGCTGATTTAATAATGGCTTTCTTGGAGAGTGTCCATTTTGGTTGTTTGTTTTTTTAGATCTGTTACCAGTAAAGCTGTCCTTGTCTGTGATTATGGATCTATAGTTGGGTAAGTTGGCTACCTGAAACTTCATAGCTTCCTTGCAGCTTCAAGTAGTGCTTGAGCCTTGTGAAGCCTGAGTAGTGTAGTGAATCGATATAAAGCTATTCAGGCCTCTGGGAAGTCTTAGCGTTTTCATATGTCATTTACACCTGACCTTCCTTGTATGCCGTATTAGCTGTTCATGGCCAGAAGAGAAAAATGTTTACAGTGTGACTGGAATCTTAGATTTGCCCACCCTGTTGGAAGGCCAAGAGCATACTGCTAGGAGAAGATACCAGATGCCAAAGCCCTGCACCTTCGGCAGCAAGGGCCGATGGCTGTGAATGTTACAATCGTGGTTTGACCTCATGCTGACATTTGGGGAGACCTCAAACCTGGGGTCTCCCTTTCCTCGGAGTGTGGGAGATGGGTTGGGTAGAAACAAGTGTAGTTTAGTATGGGACTTTTTTTAGGCTGACTGGTCCAGGATGAAACCTAATCTGAGTGGACATCTATGGATGATAAATGCGGATATGGGACTGAGACCAGCTCTTCAGAAAAAGCCTGGGTGGCATTAATTAATTGGGGGAATATTAACACATGGGCTTATACTTCCTTTTCAGGACAGAAACACTGGGAAGAGGCAAGCTGAAAGAACAGATTATTTTAGTGGAAAACCATGACCTTTGTATTTTTGCTACGGGTGCCACATGGCATATAAGTAACTAATAAAAGACTTGTTAAGTATGTTTGTGTCCATTTTCTTGTTCCCCATTACAGTGTCGTCTTCATAAAGATAGGTTGACCTCTACAACTCCCACCATACATAATTTTTCCTCCCAAAGCCTGAAAATACAGGCCGAGCCTAATACATATTCCTTAAAATATCTGAAGGCTTCTTGTGACCAAGGCCATTTACCTCAAGTTGCCCCATTATCCCGTTCCCTGCCCTCTCCTCCCTGCAATTTCCTCTAGCACAAAAGAGTAGAGATAAGCTGCAGATTTTTAGTATAAATCCAGACTTTCCATATGGGTGCTGGAGATGATGGTAAGTGGATTCATACCTATCAAATGAAAATAATGTCAAGAAACCGGTGGGCCAGGCAAACAGATGTCACAATAGTGTCCCTCAATAAGGGCTTATTGAAGCTAGGCTTGCCCTTGGAGCATGCCCGCAAGTCTTGAGCCCTTTGGTCTAGATTTAGCTGGTTCCATTACAGCCTACCACACATAGCCACAAAACTTAAACTTGTTGGGGTGAATGGATACTTGAATGGATGATCAACACTGCCCCCCCCATGTGGCATACAGCAGGTAACCCATGCACTCTGACCCCAGAGAACCTTAAGGATGCAGTGTCTGTCACCTGAGATGGCCCTCTGGGTTGAATTAAATCTTATGATCCACTTTGGTCCTTATCTCCAAAAGTGGATAACATCGCTACCTGGAAAAATTTACTTTTCAAGGACAAGTAGAACCTTGCTCAATGGCACTGTGGTTTTCAAACTCTGAAGGCTGACAGGCAGAGAGGAAGGCAGCAATGTTGCAGGAATGGTCATAATCTCAGAAGAGTTGATCACTAAAAGCTTAACATTTCCAAAAAGGTAAAAGTTCTTCTAATACTTTGTTAAAAAAGAGAGTCTCTCATCTCCATCACACAGTCCTTTCTGGCTGGTCCTCTGTCCCGACTACATCATGGCGGGTATCTCTGAAGATACTGTGTCCAGGGGCTGCCAGTGACAGTCCATCAAGGCATCATACAGCTCCTCACTCTGCTCCATGAACTCCTTGTTGGCCTCCGTCACATCCAACTGCGGCATGGGGTCTGCAAGAGAAGCCAGGGTGGGTTCAGAACGCCAGGAGAAGCACCCAGAGACTTGGACTCCGTTCCCCACTCCCAGGGCTTCCTGCTTCTGGCACGTTCCCTGTGCTCTGTGTCAGAGTCCCTCAGGGCCCACACCACTGCCTTGCAGGGTTCCTTTAAGGATAAAAGTGGAGTCTACTTAGAAAACATCATACACAGGCTCAAATCATGGTGGCTGTTACTCCAGCTCTTCTCTAGACTTCATGGGCCCTGGCTGTCCTTGCGTGGTCCTTCCTTTGCTTGTGGGTTATGGAAATCTGATCAAAAGGACTAAGTCCAGAGCACTGTTCTTCAAAGGGAACATTACACAGAAATGAAGATCAGCCTCAGCTGCATACAACTTGGTTGGATCTCACAAATGGTGTTTTTGTTAATTTACCATGATGAGCACTGAGTAATGTAGAGAAGTGCTGAATCACTAGATTCGACACCCGAAGCTAATATAACACTGTACGTTAACTATACCAGAATTTTATTTAAAAGAAACGCTGAAAAAAAAAAAACGCTGAGTGTTGAATGAAAAAAGCAAGACAATACATATAGTACAACTGCATTGTCTGAAGCTAAAAAAAACAGGCAAAACTAATATTATTTAAGGATGGATATCTCTAAAAAGAAGGAAGAAAGTAATTACCACAAAAATAAACACAGTAATTTTCCCTAGCAAGGTTGTGGGTTTTGACTGGGGGAAGGATAGCTTCTGGAGGCTGGCAATGTTCTACTTGATCTGAATAAAGGTTTCATGAGCAATTGCTTTATAATTACATAATAAACTATACACTTCTTTGACATACTTTTCCATATATATTTCACAATAAAAAGTTAAAAAAAAACACAACTCCTTGATCACTATAACATTGTATGCTTTTCCCTGTAGTGTTGGTTTAAAATGCACACACACAAACACACCCGTTCATTAAAAACACTTATTTTACAATTAGAGAAAATAAAGAGGACCTACAGAAATAGACATTCCCGTACTTGGACTGGAACATAATATTGCTTAAGATCGCAATACTCCCCAAATTGATCTACAGATTCAGTGTAATCCCTTTCAAAATTACCTGCCTTGTTTTGCAGAAATTGAGAAGCTGATCATAAAACTTAAATGGAAATGCAAAGGATTGAGAATAGCAAAAACAATCTTGAAAAAGCACAAAGTTCAAGGACTTCCCCGTTTCAAAACTTACTACAAAGCGACAGTAATAAAAACTGTGGCAGTGGCCTAAGGATAGACCTAGAGATCAGTGGAATAAGATTTAAGAGTCAAAAAAAAAAAAAAAAAGGGATGCTGGGTGGTTCAGTCCGTTAAGCGTCTGCCTTCAGCTCAGGTCATGGTCTCAGGTCATGGTCCCAGGTCCTGGAATTGAGCCCCACATCGGGCTCCCTGCTCACCAGGGAGCCTGCTTCTCCCTCTGCCTGCTCTGTCTGCTCTCTGTAAGCTCTCTCTGTGCTCTGACAAATCTTACAAAAAAAAAAAAGATTTAAGAGTCCAAGCCCAACATATAGATTTATAGTAACTTGGTTTTCAACAAGGGTACCAGGCAATTCAATGGTAAAGAACAGTTTTTCAACAAATGGTGCTGGGACAACTGGATAACCACAGACAAAAGAATAAAGCTAGATGGGACACCTAGGTGGCTCAGTCGTTAAGCGTCTGCCTTAGGCTCGGGTCATGGTCCCGGGGTCCTGGGGTCAAGCCCTGCATCGAGCTCCCTGCTCAGCGGGAAGCCTGCTTCTCCCTCTCCCACTCCCCCTGCCTGTGTTCCCTCTCTCGCTGTCACTCTGTCAAGTTAATAAAATCTTAAAAAAAAAAAATAAAGCCAGACTCTTCACACTTTACACAAGAATTAACTAAATATGGATCAAAGACCTAAATGTAAGAGGTGAAACTATAACTCTTAGAAGGAAACAGGCACAAACAAGCAGTGCCTTTTAGATATGACACTATTCACAGAAATTAACTTTTGTGCTTCAAAGGACATTATCAAGAAAAGTGGAGAGGGGCGCCTGGGTGGCTCAGTTGTTAAGCGTCTGCCTTTGGCTCAGGTCATGGTCCCACGGTCCTGGGATCGAGCCCCACATCGGACTCCCTGCTTGGTGGGAAGCCTGCTTCTCCCTCTCCCACTCCCCCTGCTTGTGTTCCCTCTCTTGCTGTGTCTCTATGTGTCAAATAAATAAATAAAATCTTTAAAAAAAAAAAAAAAGAGAAGTGGAGAGATAACTGATGGAATGGAATAATTTGTAAGTCATATGTCTGATAAGGGAGTGGTATCCAAAACAGAATAAAGGAACTCTTATAATGAAACAATAAAAAAAGACAACCCAATTTAAAAATGGACAAAGGACTTGAATAGACATTTCTCCAAAGATCTACATACACATGGCCAATAAACATATGAAAATGCTCAACGTCCATTAGCCATCAGGAAGTGCGTATTAAAACCACAATGCACAATGTGGTACCACTTGAAAACCACTAGGATGGCCATAACGAAACAAAATAAGAACCACTGGTGAGGATGTGGAGAAACTGGAACCCTTGTATGCTATTGGTGGGAATGGAAAATGCTGCAGCCTTTCCGGAAAAGTTTGGTAGTTCCTCCAGGGGTTACATAAAGAGTCTGCCATATGATCCAGCAATTCCATTCCTAGGTAGAGTAATGAAAACTTACCTATGTCCACACAAAAACTTACACATGAATGCTCATAAGTAGTATATTCATAACACTAAAAGTGGAAACCCAAATGTCTATCAACAAAATGGATATCCACACAATGGAATATTGTTTGGCCATAAAAAGGAATGACGTACTGACACCTGCTACAACGCTATGCGTAAGTGAAAGCAGCCATTCACAAAGGACTGCACATTATACACAATTCCATTTATTAAATACCCTGGGGCGCCTAGCTGGCTCAGGTAGAGCATGCAACTTGACTCTTAATCTCAGGGTGGTGAGTTCAAGCCTCACACTGGGCAAAGAAGAACTTAAAAAAAAACCCCAGACTAGGTAAATCCAAAGAGAAAGAAAGTAGATGAGTAGTTGTCAGGGGCTGGAAGGGGCTGGCATATGGACAGTGACTGCTGCTGGCTGCAGGAATCGGTGGTAATGGGTGCACAACTCTGTGACCATTCTAAAAACTACTGGACTGTATGTATACTTTAAAAGGGTGAAATCTGGGGGCGCCTGGGTGGCTCAGTCGCTAAGCATCTGCCTTCGGCTCAGGTCATGATCCCAGGGTCCTGGGATGGAGCCCCGCATTGGGCTCCCTGCTCAGCAGGAAGCCTGCTTCTCCCTCTCCCACTCCCCCTGCTTGTGTTCCCTCTCTCATTGTGTCTCTGTCAAATAAATAAAGATATTAAAAAAAAAATTGAAAACCTTAAGGCCTTAAATTTGGTGAGGTTTCCCAAAGGAATTCTGCCTCAAGACTGTAACACAGAAATCCTGCCTGAGTTTCCAGCTTGCTGGCCAGCCTTACAGATTTATACATACTATATCCTACTGGTGATATAGTACAAATCACCTTTGATACAAATAGTATGTGTAAACTTTTATTCTTGTTGTTTACCGCATGTGTGTTTCTTTTGTAAATTATTTCAAACTTTCTCACTACTTTTAAGGGTCTGTTTCCTTTTCCAAACCAGTGCTAATCTTTTCATGCAAGTCCTATGCCTGTTCCTGCAACCAGAAGGATCTTTTTTTCCCTTGGAATTTTAATCTAAAGGTTTGAGCATTTACAGAGGCTCCCTAAGGAAACTGTAAGAAAGCATGACTGGCCTGGTTTCTCCACTCAGTGTAGGTTAACAGCTTACAGGAACAGTTCAGTGAAGAGCTCGATCACAGGCAGGCATTTGTGTGAGCTGAAGCCTGTGGATACAAATACAGTAGAGCCCCTTCCTCACTCTGAAGACAGGGTCTGAGCCATGGCTCACTGAAGCTGAGGAAGAGACGGAGAAGGGAGAAGGGCAAAGATGCCTACTGTGCCCCCTCTGGGTGGGTATTAGGTTGAACTGGGAGGCAGTGTTAAGTCAACGTGAAAAAGCATTTATTCAGGGGTAAGACTGCAGGGGTTCCAAGAGTGACTTCATCTCCTGCTACTATGTTGCAATTTACAATATCATCGACCTTGAACAAGTAATTTGACCCCCTTATCTTGGTTTTTTTATTCTATAAAACCAGAATAAATCGTGGTACTTAGCTCAAAACAGTTGTGAAGGTTAAATGCATTAATAGATGTAAAATGCTTAGAACAGGGCCTGTACATAGTAAAACCTCAGTAACTATTAGCTATTATCAACTCCATAAGCCTCAGTTTTCTTTTCTGTAGACTGGGGATTATAATGGTACAAACCCAGCATCATAGTGTTGAAAGGTAGCAGGACCTGGCACAAAATATGTTTGGTATTATCAATGGATGAGAAAGAGACTGGAAAATTCTAATTCTAAGGAGTTATACACAGATACTATAATCAGGTTAACATTCTCTTTAAAAAAAAAAAAAAAAAAAAAAAAGGCAGTATTCCCTGGAGGGCCCAGAGACTGAGTAGAGAAAGTCAGAGACTCCAGGCCTGACTTAGCCCCTAACTCACTGGGTGAGCCTGAGCAGAGCACTTGTGTGGCCAGTTCCCCATATGTCAACCAGAGCCCCTGTGTTCTGCCCGGCCCACCCCCAAGGTCACTGCTGTTAGATTTATGATGACAGCATGTATGTACAAGTGCTTTATTATTATTTTACTTTTTATTACTTTTTATTTTTCTAAAGAGAACATGTGTGTGAGAGGGGAGTGGGGGTGGCAGGGAGTAGAGGTAGAGGGAGAATCTTAAGCAGGCTCCAGGCCCAGTGTGGAGCCCAATGGGACACGGGGCTCGATCTCATGACCCTGGGATCATGACCTGAGCCAAAATCAAGAGTCAGACGCTTAGCCGACTGAGCCACGCAGCCAACCAGGTGCTCCAAGACTTTTTTAAGTAATCTCTATACCCCACATGGGACTCGAACTCACAATCCCAAGATCGAGTCACATGCTCCACTGTTGAGCCAGCCAGGTGCTCCTAAATTTTACTTCGACTGCTTTTTTTTTTTTTTAAAGACTTATTTATTTGACAGAGACACAGCGAGAGAGGGAACACAAACAGGGGGAGTGGGAGAGGGAAAAGCAGGCCTCCCGCCGAGCAGGGAGCCCGATGCGGGGATCGACCCCAGGACCCTGGGACCATGACCCAAGCCGAAGGTAGATGCTGAACGACTGAGCCACCCAGGCGCCCCTAAATTTTACTTCTTTAAAACTTACCATCTATTCAGAAATGTTTAAAAAAATTATTTTTCATAGTATTTTCAAACCTTAAAAATCCTTTAAGTATTAATATATCATTTGAGAAATCATTTGTTTGAAGGTTAGCAATTCCTTCAATTTTCCTTTTTCCTGTTAAATTCAGTAAAAATTACAACAAATGCTTTTAATTAAAAAAATTAATAATGGCTATTGCTATGTAGCAGATTGGGGTGATTTTCAGTTTCTTCATAATATGTTACTATATTTTCCAAAATTTTTTTTTTTAAGATTTTATTTATTTGACAGAGAGAAACAGCAAGAAAGGGAACGACTCAGACGCTTAACAACTGAGCCACGCAGGCGCCCTTATTTTCCAAATTTTCAATCATACCTATTACTTGAGCATGAGGAAAAAATGTAATTTAAAATATATAGGAAAAAATTAAAATGAGATAAAAAATGAATTTTACAAACTATCAAACATACACAAGGCAACAGTTTTGCTGGAGACCTGCATGTGGGGGTTGAATGTCCCAGGTCTCTCCCCTGTTGCGCCGCTTCCTCTGGGCTCACTGGGACCGCACGCACACCTCTGGGGCACACGCTCACTTCTCACTGTAATTATGCATGCATAATCTCTAATGAGCTCTCTCACTAGAAGGCAATTTCCTCCAGAGCAAAATCCACCTTGCATTCCTCAGCATCTAGCTAAGGAACAGTGCCCGCCACAGAGCAGTCACCTGACAGAGGACAGAGGAATGAGTGAACAAACTTCTTTCTTACCTTCCAATGCGTCATCCCCGACTTCTTCATATGTCTGCCAAGAGACCAGAGAGAGAGTGAGAGGCAGCGTGAACTCCTGGCCCAAGACAAGGAGGCCTTATTTTTAGCAAATAGGTTGCTTCATCTTTCCCCATTTTCTTCTGAAGCCTGTGCTTAGCTTAGCAACGCCACGCCGGCGAATGAGCTAAGGCGAGGCCCGGCCGGCCCATGGTTACCTGCATGGCGCTCTGCGCGATGCCACGCCGGCAGGTGGGCTAAGGTGAGGGCCGGTGGGTGGGCGGTTACCTGCATGGCGCTCTGCGTGTAGCCGTACTGGGGGTAGCTGTAGCTGTAGCTGCCCGTGTTCTGGTCGTAGCCCCACTGGGCGTAGTAGGTCTGGTACTGCTGGTAATACTGGTTGTAGCTGTAACTGTACATCTGACTATACTCTACTGGCTTCACACGGCTCCTTAGACGAAGAAAGAAGCCAAAATAAACAAATATAGGCAAACATTTCCAAGCACTTACTACATGACCGGGGGCTGTTCAAGTGGCTTTATGCAGATTAACTCATTTAATCTCCACAACAACCCTATGCAATAAGAATACATTTATTCCCATTTTACAGATGAGGAAACTGAGGTCCAGAGAGGTCACCCAATTTGTCCAAAGTCACACAGAGATCCAAACCCCGGCAGTCTGGCTCCAGAGCCAAGGCTTTACAGTCAGCTTTTAACGGCCAGGTCTGGCTCTCTTATCAAATCTTGTCAGTACTGACTTGTCCTCTTCTCGAGATCTGGGGGGCGGGGGGGGGATGACGACTGTTTTTCTGCCAGCCACAGAGGCTCAGGTGAACATGGCCTGGAAAATATGGATTTAGGATGATCCAAGAATCATTTCAAACCACAAAATGTCTAATGACCTCTTTCCCACACACAAAAAAGAAGTGTTCCAGTAGCCTTACCATCACCACTTAGTCACAACTACTGTGTATGGAGTAGGTTCTCAGGATTTGGGCCCATTGTTTTTCATATACAGGCCCCTATTTTAAGTCCTGCACAACCCTATGACAGAGCTATTAATTATTATTCCCATTATACAGATGAGAATAATGAGAATCTAAAAGGTTAAGTAACTCACCCAAGGCCACACCTAGGACTGGAGCCAAATTTAACTCCAAGACTCATGCTCTGAACACCACACCACTACATACAGCATCTGCCCTGACAGATGCCAGACACCTTGTGAGGCTCCTATATCCTGCACTCACCAATCAGGGCTAAGGCCCAGGTTCAGTGGATAGCTTTTTTCTCCAGCTGGCATGGCTACCCCAGCCACTGTTAACCAAAGACAGAATGTCAAGCTTGCAAAGGATCCATTGCTTTCAAAAATACACAAAACCATGTATGTATGGGTAGGCTTATGAGACAGGCCTGGGGTCTGACCAGCAGTCGTAGGTGAGAGCAATCAAAAGAACATGGCAATGCACTTCTAGAGTCCTCATACTCCAAAGAGCCAGACTCAAAAGTACAGCCAAATGTGCAGGAGGCAGAGACTCACACCACCAAGCCACCTGGCTTGTAAGGAGAACTGTAACTGTCACGTGGTGTGGACTGCGCCCATGGCCTCAGGATGGATGTATTCTATCTCGACAGTGAAGCCAGAGGAAACCAAGTCATAAGCAGGAGGTGAACTACCACAGCAAACCCTGTCTAAGGAACCACAAATTCTCAAAGTCTGAATGAGCTCTTCATAAGTTCCTTTTGAGTTCAATGTCTGCGTGGTGAGCAGGACTCGGCCAAAGCGGTTAGACAATGCCCCGTCTGACTGCCTGAGCATCACCTCCTGATGGGCTGGCTACATGAAGTCCAATGGCAGAGACTCCCTCTCCCTGCCCAGTACAAGGCTGGAAACTTCCCGTTCTCGTCCATGACCACCCCACCATGTTTCCAAGGAGCCTGCCACCCTCCTGCTATGTTCATGGAATTGAAGGCAGTCTCCCTGGCCTGGGTCTGCACATTTCTGTTGTTTCTCCACATTCAGCTCTTGCAGATTAACTTTCAAAGGGACCTCTTACTGCCCTCAATTCCTAGTGCTTGATGGTACCTCCCTAGACGCAGGCACCAAGTTCTGACAACAATGATCAACCGAGAAATGGAACAGAACATAACCTCCTTGCGGAAAGGACTTTCTTTCTCTTGTTTATAGCTACAACTCCAAAGTCTAGGTCAGGGCCTGGAGAGTTGTAGGGACTCATCACTATTGATCGAGTAAATGGTAACACATCAGAAACAACCAACACCATCAATATCAGAGGGACTTCGGGACAGAATATACACTCAAGATACTCTACAGCTGTTAAAAAATACTATGATGAGGATTATACAGCTATATGGGAAAGGGAATGTGTATATGAAGAAAACTGGGGGTGGGGGAAGAATGAGATTATAATTAAAAATAAAGAGATAAATCTACCACATGTAAACTGATTCACACAGAGTGTGTGTATCTACATACCATGGAAGTCTATGGAGAAGCTTATAAGTCAGAAATCATAATTAGTCATTTTAGGGTAACAAGGAAACTTCTTTCTTTTAAATTTTCTTTAATGTTTTTATATAGTAGAGTTTATTATTATTTTTTTAAAATTTATTTGAAAGAGATATAGCAGGGGAGAACACAAGCAGGAGGAGGGGCAGAGGGACAGGGAGAAGCAGGCTTCCCGCTGAGCAGGGAGCCCGACTTGGGGCTCAATCCCAGGATCCTGGGATCATGACCTGAGTGGAAGCAGACACCTAACCGACTGAGCCACCCAGGCGCCCCTATATAGTAGAGTTTAGAACAAATAACATTTTGGGGGGAAAATCACAGGCTGATCTTCCATGTATTAAAGACAGTTAAGCAGCAAAGAACCTCCAAGTCTTTTGCTGCTTTGAAAAACCTGGCTATCTGGAAGTTCTGCCCTAAGAATGCAGTCACTCTCCTACTCCTAGCATGGAATTTCTCAGCCTCAGCATTACTGACCTGGGGGTAGGGCAGCTAAGTCTGGTGTGGGGACCGTCCTGGGCAGCGTAGGATGCTTAGTAGCAGTGCTGGTCTCCACTCATTAGATGCCCAGAGCGCCTCCCCACCCAAGTTGTGACAACCAAAATGATCTCCAGGTGTTGCCAATGTCCCCTGCGGGATAAAACTGTCCCTAGTTGAGAACCACTGCTTTGGCCAAAGGATAGAAGATTCTATGCTGACAACGGCTGTCTTCTGGGTGAGAAACTTGCTTGCAGCTGTAAGGGAAGAAGGCTTTCTGCCTGCCATGACAGGTAGGATGGTGATGTATATAATATTCTGTAGTGCCTGGATCTTTAACTCTCAGCCATTCCCATAGCTAAAATTGGGTATACCTTTTTTTTTCTTCTGCTCAGTTCTTATTAATTCTGTGGGTAAATTTCTAACAGTGATACTACTGGGCAAAGAGCAGGAACATTAAGTATGCAGGACACACCGCTTTCCCAGTACTACTATCAGCAATGTCTGAATGGATCTGCCTTCGCAGGTCGTAGCTCTCCCCCGGCTACAAGCTTCTGGAGGCGCAGGGTTATGCTCATTCATCTGCAATGCCCAGCACACAGCCTGGCAAGTAACAGGCTTCCCCACAGTCTCCCAGCCGGCATGCGGAAGCTCCGATTATTAACAAGCAGATGAGAAGCGTCCAGGTGGGCATCAATCCAGCGGCCCTCTACCTCCCCGCCAGCACAGGACTCACGCTTTGGGGATTGCCACACTCAGCCGCACTGGTTTAGACCCCAGGCCGACTGCTCCCTGGCACTCGGTCAGAGCTCGCTTCTGTTCCAGCTCATCTGTGAATTTCACAAAACCATAGCCCCTGCGGAAAACAAAAGCATATACCTTATTTAGATCACAAACGTGATGAAGGTGAAGTCTAAGAATGGAAGAGAGGGAGAGTCTATCCAGCTCTGCAGGAAGGGATGAGAGCCCCATCAGTAGAGGCATGCTGTGCAGCAATGTGAAACTCCAGTACGGCAGGAGCCTGAGTCCGAGGAACCCCCCCACGCCTTGACTGACGGGGCTCCTTCCCAGCGGCTTCCCTCCCAATCTACTGGAAATCCTGTTACTGTCAGCATCGTCACGGTAGCAGTGGTGGTACTAAGAGCTGTGGTTCACTGAGCAAATATTTACCCTGTCTGCCCTGTACCCCAGGTATCACGTTAGACAACGGGGCTCAGCAGGCACACGCAGACAAGGTTCTTGCTCTGCTGGACTCATATATTTTTTTTAAGATTTTATTTATTTATTTATTTGAGAGAGAACAGGTACGCGTGAGAGTGGGGGGGAGGGGCAGAGGGTGAAGGAGATGAAGGAGGAAAGACTCTCAAGCAGACTCTGCACTGAGCCCACAGCCCCATGTGGGGCTCGATCTCACGACCCTGAGATCATGACCTGAGCCAAAACCAAGAGTCCGTCAAAACCAAGAGTCAGATGCTTAACCGACTGAGCCACCCAGGCGCCCTGGGGCTCATTCTACTTCCGGGATCAACAAATGATAGCTAATATTTCATGAGCACTTACTATCTCCCAGGCACTGTGCTGAGCATTTCCCCAGGATTAGCTCATCAAACTGCCCAATGATTAGATAACGGTAGTGTCCCTATTTTACTGAGGAGGAAATCAAGTTCAGAGGGACTCAATAATTTGCCCAACATCATTGTAGAAGCAGGATTCAAATCCAGGTCTTGAGCTTATAACTCAAACTTGTGCTTATAACTATTACTCTGATCAAAAATAAGCCTTTCTTGAGGTTTTTCTACCTTTGAAGTAACAATAATAGATAAAATGGCAAACACCTACCAAGCATATCCTATTGCTTTATTTATAGCACATCACGTAACTGTTAGGTCAGGCCTGTGAGCAGACACTATTAATCAGCATCTGTTGTACCAATGAGGAAATAATCAGGTGAGAGGCTGGGCCAGTACCGGAGTCAGGATGCACACGACAGTCTGGCTCCAGAGCCCGTGCTCTTCACTCCCATGCTACATGGCCTCGCTCTAACACCCCCATCTTTGAGACAAATGCTGGAACATGGTGGGCATCAGTCACAGGTAAGGCCTTACTTTGACACGCCTGTCTGGTCCAAAACCACCTTGCCTCCCCGACAGGACGGGTAGACTTTGACGAAGAATTCATACAGCATGCCATCATCCACATCTGGGGTGAGGTCCCCCACAAAGAGGGAGTATTCAGGGCTGAGAGGGGAGAACAAGATTCAGAGACAGATACCGAAAGCTTTGTTCTAACAAGCTCTTTTGGCCCATTCTAGGTAAACCTCTCCTGGGCCTTCCCGGGGAACAGCACATCTGATGGGTCCTTAGCCAGGTCCTAATTTGTTGCATCTGGCAGTCCTGGCAGAGAGTTATGGAAGCAGCCCCTGTCCCAAGCGCCTTACCCACTGAACAAAGCCTGTCTGGCTTCAAATATTACAGGATTGCAGGTGGAGGGCCTGGTCAGAGGTGCTCAAAAGAGAAAACTAGACACTCTGTATTCGCTGCAAGTATTTTTTTAAGTAATCTCTACGCCCAATGTGGGGCTCGAACTCACGACCCTAGGATGAAGAGTCGCATGCCCTACTGACTAAGCCAGCCAGGAGCCCCTCACTGCGTATTTTTAATTCAAATGGTGAAGATGAAGAATGAGAACTGGACCTTATCTCCTAAGACTGAAAGCAGAGCTAAAATGAAATCTGCCAACTTTTAGAACATGGATCAGCAAACTTTTTCTGTAAAAGGCCAGATAGTAAAAATTTTAAGCTTGGTGGGGCACCTATGGTCTCTGTTGCTTTTTCTGTTTTCACAATCCTTTAAAAGTGTAAAAACCATTTTCAGCTCACAGGTGATATTAAGTCAGGTCACATTTTGTCAACCTCTGTTCTAGAAAAATTTTAAAAAATATCAAACAAGCAGACTCATTATTATATTCTTAGTTCAAGTATGATACATAGTCCTTGTTTAAATCAGAATATACAAAAGGACAAAGAAAAATAAAATTACCAGTAACCCAACCACTCGAAGGTAATCACTATGAACACTCTGTTATATACTTTTGTCTTTTTTCTTTGGCTTCTTTGTATTTTTGTTTTTTTAAGATTTTATTTACTTGTCAAGAGAGAAAGAGAGTGAGCACAAGCAGGCTGAGTGGCAGGCAGCGGGCGAAGTAGGCTCCCCACTGAGCAAGGACCCTGGGATCATGACCTGAGCCGAAGGCAGACGCTTAACCAACTGAGCCACCCAGGTATCCCTTTTTTCTTCTTTTTTAAAGTAGGCTCCACCTCCAGTGTGGAGCCCAATGCGGGGCCCAAACTCACAACCATGAGATCATGAACTGAGCTGAGATCAAGAGCTGGACGCTTAACCGACTGAGCCACCCAGGCAAGCCTGGCTTTCCTTTTTGAATTTACAAAACTTGGGTATGACTCCCTTGTTCTGTTTCTAGCATTTTTTTTCACTTTTAACCTATCACCAACTTCTTGACCTGTCCTCATTTGCTGCAAAATGACTTATAAATGGATACATAGTATTCCAATTAATAACATATTGTCATTTAAGCTACTTCTCTATTATTAAGATTATTTGGGTTTCTCCCCAATTTCCCCCATTATATGTAATATTTCAACGAACACTGTTGAGGCTAATCTTGGCATACATCCACGTATAAATTCTGAAGTAGAATTACAGGGTCAGTGGGTACAAATCTTTTTAAAGCTCTTGATACATTGTTTTAAAGCTTTTGAAGAGCACCCTGAAACAATCGATTTATGTCACTACAACAGGTCAATTCTTACTGAATAAAACTTCAATACTGCAGGTACTAACAGGGTAGAAGGCTAGAGGCAGGACCAAATATAGAGAAGACATGGGTCTTGACAAGAAGCATACTGGGCAGGTCCACCAGCAGGGAAGGGGAGGGAGTCATCCTTTAGGAGGAAGACAGAGTGGACCAAACTGGGCTCCCCAACCTCCTCTTTGGTGGTGACCAGCACAGTGATGCACCTTGTCTCTATCTAGACATTTCCTGGGGCTTGAAGCTACCCTGGAGCTACCCTGCACTTACCTGTTATCTGGTTGTTTCCCATAAGTGGCATAGTTCAGTTTAAAACGTTTTGCCTAGAAATTTAAAAACAAACAAACTAAAACAGAGAAAGGTGTTTCAAGAGTCAAACAATATTTGAAAAAAACTGAAATAAATTACCTTGGCCAAAACATCTCCCCCTCTCTAAGCCTCAGCTTTCTCTCCTGTATAAAGTGAGGGGGTTGCACGGATGACCGCTAAGGGCACTGCCAGCTCCATGGTTCTATGAGCCCAGGTGTGCCAGCTTGGTGCAGCTGTAAGCTAAGTAACTGTGGGAAGAGCAGAATGTAACTCTCTTGAAATGTGTCCTCACTGCTGCCAGCCTGTTCTAGTTTCTCAATCAGGCAAGAGGTCTAGAGTTGCAAGTCTTCCATGAAGGGAGGCAGCAGTGCAGAGTGCAAAGGGCACGGATTTTAGAGGCAACCAATCTTCCGTTGGCGTCCTGCCTCTGCTAGTTACTACCTGTGCTGCCTCGGACAAGTTACGCCACTTCCCTGAGCTTCGGTTTCCTGGGCTGCCAAAGATAACGATGCCTACTGTGCAGGGTTGTTATAGGATTAAACAGAGTAAGTATACAGTAGGGATTCATGAATGATAGTTATCGATGACAATAAAAATGGGATCATCATTATCCAAGTGTCCTTACAGGTGTGGCTCCTGGCAGGGGTTTCCCATTAATTTTATGCAAACACTTCTCGGCTGTGGCCAAATCTGCAAATTCTACAAAACAGTAGCCAGCTGGGATTCTGGAAAGAAAGCAAACAAGAGAAAGAGAATGGTTAAAGATGGGATTCCCAGATGAGAGTGAGCCCTGGCCTGAGGGGAGGAAAAAATGTTTTTCTAATCAGCTCATCCTGTTTTTGTTCCCTGCCATATTCCAGTTCAGAACTAACTTACAAACCTGAATATAAGGACTGTCCATCTGGGCCAGTCCAGACTCCTCTGATAAACATTTATTTATGTACTGTACCACCTTTGAAGTACTTTTGCCAAAAATATTTAAGATTTATTTATTTGCGGGGTGCCTGGGTGGCTCAGTCGTTAAGCGTCTGCCTTCGGCTCAGGTCGTGATCCCAGGGTCCTGGGATCGAGCCCCACATCGGGCTCCCTG